ACCTGGCTCTTTTCTGTCTTGGAAGAAAGTACCTCCTTTTTTTAATATAGTAGGGGCTAAGGGTAGAGGGGGGAGGTGGGCCTACTTGTAGCAGGCATCCAGCTAGACAGATAAGATCTCTCAGTTCTCTTAACACCCATTTTTTTTTTGAAGTGAGGCTATGAGAAATTAAGTGCCTTGGCCAACCTGTGTGATTTTTCACTCAGTTTCATCTCCCTGCTGTGAATATCTAAGGAGAAAGAGCCTAGGAATTGGGACTATTTCACAGTAGCATGGTGGTGTGCGTCATGTGCTGGGGCAGCCCTTGTTTCTGGCTGAACGTGTTTCCCACAGATTCATAAAGCCTTGGCTGTAGGACGGGGGTCCTGTGACCAGGCCTATTTGATCAAGGTCCTCCATTCTCTTGGTCACAGGACTATAAGGTGTTAGGCGGTTCGTCAGAGTCCAGCTCTTGGTTGACTTACGAATACTGAGAGAGAGAAGCCCTCTTTCCACTCTGAGGTGGGAGGGTAAGAATAATAATACCTATCATAATTGCGCTGGGTGAGTAGTGCCTATGTGTGAGGTGTTGGCCTAAGCATATTTATGTATCAACTCATTCAATCTCAAAGCAAGCCCAATCAAGAGAAGCTAAAGTTTGAGTAGAATTTTTTAAAGTGTATGGTTGTAGATCACCCCCACGGAGGCTCCTAGAATTTAGAACTGGGGGGAGCTTTCATCTAAACATGGGGGGAAACCACTGGGAGAGGTTAATTTGCTTAAGGATCCAGATATAGTGAGAGAAGGACTCGAAGCTGCTGTCCTTTCTCCTTCTCCCTTCCAGCTCTTCACCCGCAGTGTGGGGGTTGCACAGAGAAGGCCCCAGCAGCTCCTCCTGCGGTCTTCACACAGATGTTTTTGGCAGGAACAGTGAGGGTCCGTCCCCTTGTCTGTCTCCTTCTCAGCCCTTCCTTCCATCCTCTTTGGCATACATTTTCAGACAGAACTGTTTGGAGCCAGGGTTGGTGTGTTAGAAAGCAGCGGGCTGCCATCCTGTGTGGCCTCCCACAGCACCAGCCCTAAGATCAGTCCCACACGTAATGAGTCGTAGGGTTTCCTCTGAGGCTGACCTGTCACTTCTCAGTCACCCAGGGACGAGGCACTGGAAGCCTTCCAGCCTTCAGAGATCGTGTGAGCGTGGGTGCTTATTGCAAAAACCTGTCAAAGTGGGGGAATTTTTCAGGAAAACTAATTAAGTCACTGACAGCATGATTCGGTGAAAGGGGGAGCCATGGCAGGCCCTAGCAAATCCATGGTGAGTCATTGCCTTAAGCGAGAGTATGAATATGAATGCACAATTACTGGGAGCTGCTCATCAGCCCCAGCTCTCTCCCTGCAGGTAAAAACTGAAGCTGCTCATGGAGTAGACTCACACCCAGGCCCCTCTCCAAAGCCTGTGCGGAGACTGTTGTCTTAATTTGCTTGCTGAACAATGAAGAACTTCCCCACACAGAATTTGGAGGTTTATACTATATAGATGAGTACAGCCTGAATGTGAAAGTGTTGAAGATAGGAATGAGTACTGTCTGTGAAAAGCATCACATTGGATTTTGTAAATATTCTGTCGAACAGGAAGCCTGTAATCTCCATGTAAGGAAAAGATCTGTGCACCGAAGAATTTCGTTTAGTGAAGATGCATCTCATTTATGTATGAATCACTCATTGGCAGCGTTTTTGAGAATTAGGTTTTGGTAAACTAAATTGTTTTTGAAATTCACTGAGAATGCTTGTTCTCTAATGAGACTCTGCATCATGTGGTTCTGCAGAGACACCCCATCCATCTTGTGAAATATAAAAAGGCACTTCCAAATTTCTACGATTTCTATTTCAGATCTTACTGTTCTTATTAAAGCTGATCCTTCAGAATCTCTGGAAGCTGTGCCGAAATGAATCAAATTAGAAAAATCCCATTTTAAGTGGTGGTGAATGTTATAACTCTTACTACCAAAGGCCAGGTCTCCTAAGTGAGAAACAAAGCAAAATAAAATGCCAACAGAAAACAAACAAAATCCATGAGGAAGAGTAGAAGACATTATTTGATTAACTGAGACACAAACTTTACAGATAATATATTCTGCCCCCCACCCCCTTTCAGCTTCATACCAAAACAATAGGACTCTTGTTTAGGGAAGTCATGGATAGACCAAGGTAAATAAGTTGGTCATCAATTATCATCATGGAAATTAGGCACTTGTGGGGAGCTAGCTTCACTTATTTAGGCAATCGGTTTATGATGGTTTAGGACTGTGATTCTCAGCTCTGGCTGCACATTAGAATCACCTGGGGACCTTTTGAAACGCACTGATCCCTGGACCTATCCCAGAATCAGAACTACAGGGGGATGGAACCAGGGCATGGGGAACATGGTTAAAGTTCCCCAGGTGATTCTAATGTGCAGCCAGGGCTGAGAGCCACTGAATTAGGAAATCACCACTTGAAAATCTGGCTTAAGTAGCATAGCAACAATGCTGAAAAGAAAAAAAAAAAAGGGTTGTGGACCATCAAAGCTGCTTATTAAAAATACAGATTGCTGAGAATCCCCATCCTCACCCCTTGGAATCTGCACTTTGAACATGCTTTTTTGGGTAATCCTTTGTTACTAGAAACACAAGGAGCCAGTACGTTTAAGATGTTCAATATTGACGTATTACTGAAAACTTAGAAGGTGCCTATAATTTAACAAGGCTTTTGCCCACCTTCAGACATGACAGTTACCAAGCTGGTTCTATGAACTGTTGTGAGCTAAGTGACACTGGCTGGACCTCACCCTCCAAGATCTCCGGAGTGAGGGATGCCCCTTTCTTTCAGTAAGAATCCCTTTCTCCACGTAGTTCCTGTCCCTTCGGTCCATTGGAACTCATCCACTCGATACTCTTTTCTCCCAGAGCTCTATCACGCCCAGAGCTCCATCTGTCAAGTGATGGGTGAATTTACACTAAGAAGTGCTGCCTTGGTTTTCCCACATAATAAATTTTGGCAGCTGCCTTCAGTGACTTAACTCCAAAACAGAAATGGGTACAATGTACAGGGTCATGTAGGAGCGTGGTGGACAGCAGTATCTGATGCCCTCAGGGCACACCATGTGGAAGACCACCCACCCAATTACAGATCATCACCACCCTTTTGATTAATAGGTCCAAACCTTTGGGCAGTTTCTCAGTTCTTTGGTTTTATTCCAAGAAATATAAATTACCTCAAAAACACAATCCTCTGCAGAAGGGTCAAATCATTGACAGATGTTGGGTGAATCAATGCCTCTAGGACAATGAAGGTATTTTGTGAAAGGCAACTTGCAGATGAAGTAACCCTCAGACAGGTTTGAGAGCAAAGCAAATTCATCTCAATGGCAAAATGTTCTTTTGTAAAAGGGAAATCAATTCTTTTCGTACGTTACGTCCTAAATGGCTTCTGCAAGCTTAGTCAGGGTCTATGTAGATTCAGCAGTTACACAGGCTAAATAAATCTAACATTTTAATTCATTTTTTTCAGCATTTAGTCTAAACTTCTCAAAATATTTCCTGTGAGAACTGGGTTTTGGGCAGATAGGCTAGATTTTACCCTCCTGCTTCTTATGTTGTAACAAGGTAGGATTAGTTAGTAAGTGCAAATTTGAGATCAGTTTGTTAGGAAACCCCATTAAATACCTCCATTGGGTGGAATGAGTATGGAGGAGAAGCATGACCCAGAGCTGACAGAGTTACAAAAGAAACTCTCCTCTGAATTGTGGGTCCCTTGGTTCCTGCTTGTCCTTAGCTCCCAGTAAGAAATCCCACTAGAGCTAAGACATATGCATGAGGTTTACCATTCTTTAAAAAACTGGCGTAAGACTTCAGTGGATCAACTCGCCAATTATTGAACCCAGTGGCACAACATAATGCCAAAGAAGCTATAATCGCTGGCTTGCTTTCAGTATCTATGGGTCATTTAGTTTCATCTAATCAGAAGCCAAACATTTCTTGCTGATTCCACTCAGCTCTGTCACAAAGGTGTGCTTTTATTCATAAGGGAGGACAGATAATTGAGAATAGAAGAGTCTTTGATAATTTGACACTTTTTTTTAGTAAAGATATAGAGAAAAGAACAAAAGGGTGGCCGGCTACACAGATTCTGGTTGTTTCTGATACTATTTTGTTTCCAGCTGTGGTATCAATAAGCATTTTGTTTCTTTATGATATAAACCACAATCCTTTCCCTAAACCCTTGGGGCCTGATGTGTTTTTAAATAATTTTGGTTTTTTTTTTCAGATTATGAAAAGGTAATGAAATACATATACTGTATATTTTGTAATATCTGCAGAATGATCTGGTAATAAAACATGACATTTCTGTAGCAAAACATATAAATATTTGTATTAGATGGGATAAATAAATGCTATAAATAGTTTCAAGTTTGTTCAGATTGCATTTTGCTGCCAAATGAGTGGTGCCAAACCTAGAAAAAACTTTTAGCTTTGGAAATGGAAACAAGGGATTATGGATACATATCTGTGTATTTCTCCAAACCATTCAAGAATCTCTTTATATTTTCAATTTTTACTAACTTCCTTGGGTAATTTGTCTCATACATTATTGGCCCAAAATATACTGTTCTCACACTTAAAATGTTACCTCTAATCACCGTACTCATTGATTTGCCCAACATATTTCTGGTGACTTAGTGATTTTATTATTTCTGGTTATGGTAAGCCTTTCAGGGTTCAGTTTCCTCTTTTAGAAAATCGCGCTTGGCATTGTGCCTGGCACTTAGTGCTTGTATCAGTCAGCAAGCTTCTGACTGCAAGCAAGAGAAACTGGTCTTTCCTCCCTCATTTACTGCTTAAAAAATTTTAAAGGATATTATTAAATTCCTTAAGCCCCATGTTTCTTTAAGTGGCTTTTCAAATTGCAAGGGATTTTTACAGGCAGGTGCTGACGTGTGCCCGCAATCTCAGTGTGAATTGTCGATAATACACATTTCTTACCTGATACTCATATTCTGTGAAAGGCGATAGTTCGAAATCTATAAAAGAGCTTGAGCTTCCATTATAGGTTAACACTGGATTTGATTTTCCAGGCCGAGTTGTGATTTGTCTTCTGTATACCTCATAATATAAAACTCTTCCATTTGGCTGAAGTGGTCCCATCCACGAAAGGGCAACTGTGGGCTGGAATCCACCTGGAGCCATCCGTACCTCTAGATGGGGTGGGGGCTGCATCAGAGGTGCAACCTCAGGGGTCTGTAGGGATGTCCAGTCACTTGACGCACATCCCAGCAGGGTGCAGGCTTGAACTCGTACTTCATACCTTCAGGATACAAGGCAGAAATTACCCATAATTAGCAAAACAGATTTTCATGGAAAGAATATTTACAAGACTGCTTTCCAGATAAAAAGAGACTATTTGCTGAAAAGAAAAAGACAAATCAGTTTACATTTATTCTTGTCTATAGCTAAACCTTTTAAAGAACAACAAAGTCCTCTTTTTATAAAAATTTGAGAACATGTTAAATCCTCCTGGCTTCCCAAACTAAAACAAAAATTCTCAACTGTCTGGAAAGGGTGGGAACAATTCTTCCCTAAACAGGAATATAACTTTCAAGGTTCTCTCCAACATAAAAAATTCTGGTACTCTGCAGAATTACTTAACACAACGATGAAGAATGCAGATCTTAGGGGGTATGAACCAGTTTTCCGTAGCCCTGGGCTCTTTCTACCTCTGCAGCCGGAGCTGAATGATTCCCCAGGAATGTTTCCAGGTCACGAAGGAACATCATGGAGTTAAGGTCTCAGTGGTAATAAATCCCCTCACCTGATACCTGACATCTTAAAACAGGCTCTCTTACACCACACAAAGACCTTTTGGGGCCAAAGTTAACCCAGCTACATGCTAGATTATCAATCATGGAGACACCTTATCACCACCCAGTTAAACTCAACCAATCAATTATGTTTTGCCTCATAGTTGGTCTCCTGCCACCTGGAAAGGTCTATTTACATAGCTGGGACGTTCCCTTTCCAACAAGAGGGGCTTTTGTTAGTATTAAGTGCCTAGGGCTGTACCTAAGTGCTTTTTTCCCCTCTGTTCCCATGCCCCACTGATTTTATGACACCCCTGATTTTCCCTCCAGCTGCAGCCACTTTTCTTTCTATCTTTATTTCTTTTGGTTCCAGCATTTTCCTCTTCTCTTTTCTGCTTTCCCTCCTCTTATCTCTGCTTTCTGTTCTCTGCCTTGCTTTCTTTCTATTTCCCTTGTCCTCTTCCTTTTCCCCCTTCCCCTTCTTAATTACACTTCTTTCTTCTTTTGTGCCATCTTTCATTCCCCTTTTCTGCTCCTCCTTCTTCTCTGCTCCTCCCCTGCTTATCTCCACTGTGATGGGACTACTGGTTTATGGGTGGGGCGTCCATCCATCCGTGTGTTATGGCAGGTCTGACTCCTAACCAATTCTGCGCATTTCAATTTGCCACACATAGATTATTTGTTTTCTGGATTATCTGTGGTAGTTTTAAAATTCTGGTTCATATACCTTTTGCTACTTAGAGTATTCCCATGCTCCTTCTTCCTCCTAACCCACTCCAGGTACCCCCAGGAGGGCACACTAATTTGCAGTATTCAGTTAGCATTAAGCTGCTAGAAAAACCCCAAACTACATGAACCTCAATTTCATATAGAAATGGTATGTTGTTTTAAGTCTGAATGTCACTTACATCTTCAATGAGAGTGGAGAGCAAAGAGATATCTCTTCTCGCCTTAAATATCACTGTCAGGCTTATCAGATGATCAAACTCCCCCCACCCCCAGCCTGTGAAAAGTGCTTCTTTCACACCTGGAAACCTTTTTCTTTAGAAATCTTTTTGGCTGAGAGTTTCAAAGGGGAGCAAGTTGATATGATTCTTCAAACTTGCAGGCACCAGTCAGGTAAAGAGGAAGCCAGTATAAAATGTACAGCTCTGCAGCTAACCTGGGTCTTTTTTACGCCCCAAATGAGCGTAAGATAAAAGGCAACTCACACACTATGTGGATTAGCCATGAAAGATACCTGCGGAAGTTTTAATTACTGTTTAATATTTAATGCAACCTTAAATAATTGTCATGAGTAGATGCATAAGACCATGAATGTTTCATTTAAACAGCACTATATATCAGAGATAATTATAGGAGGGATCTAATCTACACATCAGTAGATTACAATAATAGCTGAATTTTACCAGTGGTGGTTGGAAATCAACACTCTTTCAGCCTTTAATTTTTTTTAAGTGGTTCTGTTCATTTTACTAAATTTTAAGCATAAAATGTCTTTTATTACTCTTCTTGCTGGGGATGTAAGTTACTTAAAATGTGATGGGGAAAAATGCCAAGTAATTCTTCAAGCTATAGGAAAAGGGCCAGTGGTAGGATTCCTTCATATGGAGAGCAGCACACATCCATGCACGTCAGAGAGCCCCGAGGGGACCACGGAGAAATAGGAGGTAGAAAACTGGCACCATCCTGGGAAGTCATGACATCAGAGCTGGGGAAATCCTAAGGGGTTGGGGAAATAGAGTCCAGTGAGTCTCATTATCCCTGGAAGACGTGCTGGATTCAGGAAGAAGGCTCTCCCCAAAACAAAATTTGGGTCAGTTCAACTCTGGCTAGTAAGAGCTCTCATTGGTACTTTTTTCATATTTAAAATAATACCTAATTTTCTTCACTGCCTGGATTAGATAATACCATCTGGGTTCCCCCAACTGTCCAGGGGCCTGGATGTTTTCTGGAGGGACTAGACTCAGGGAAGGGGTCCATCTCTGTGACTTGTTCCAGACATTGTGGTGAATTGCAAACATTTCTGAAAAACTGACTCTCAAGATGTCACCTGCAAGAATGCTCTCTAGAAGTTACACAAGCAAGTTTTGACCAGATGAGGGCGTGTTTAGTCTACTGTCAATGGTTAAGGGGTTGGGGGTTGGGGATATCACCCATCTTGCTTTTAGAGTTTTCATTTGAACTGACGGAGGGCTCTCATGCTATAGAAAGTTCAGTGGCTTACTCTTAGCAAATCTGGAGTTGGCTACGTACCTGTGAAACGGCTTCAGCTTGTCTACTACGAATGACTGTGTGTCAAAAGAATTATGAGTTGTATTGATGTGTATGACTTTTGTTTCTTTTTCAAACAGCTCTCGGATAAAGAGGGTATAATTGACAATATGGCCATTTGTCCTCACGGGAGCGTCCCAGTTCACTAAAATCTGTTGCGGACCCTTGGCCTTTAATTTTGGAGGTTCTATCCCTGAAGGTGCTGAGGGGCTGGTTCTATCTTTGATGAGTGGACTCAAAACACCCCCTTGGCTGTTGTTGGCAGTCACTGTGTATCCGTACTCCACACCTGGGGTGAGAGTAAAATCATGATAGCGAGTTTCCAGGCCAGTATAGACAATGGTTCCATCCCGTCTAAGTTCATAACTTCTGATCTGGCCGTTCGGTTTTCTGGGAGGTTTCCAGGTGATTTCTATGGATTCTGAGCCGGTGACTTGCAGTTTTGGAGGGTCCATGTTCTGCGGTGGGGCCTCCATGGTCCAGGCAGATCTGGATGCACTAGCCGTACAGCCCCCATTGGTGCAAGCTTCCAGGGAGAAATTATACTGAGTATAAGGCTGTAGGTCAGAAACCAGCAGGGACAGGCTCTGCCCAGCAAGGTACTCCTTACCGTCCAACCTAAGCAAATATTTAGTGATCTTTCCATTTTGAATCGATGGTGGTGCCCACGATACATTTATTTGAGTGGCGTTGATGGTCCGGAGAGCTGGAGGGCTGACTCCTGCTGGAGCAGCCTCAGGAGTGGTAAAGCTGGTGGTTTCGCTGGTGGAACAGCCTCCATCTGAGCAGGCTATGACTGCGTAACTGTACGTGGAAAATGGAAGCAGGTCTTCATCAGTATAATTGAAAGTCACAGCATCAAAGCTGAAAGGATAGAGCACTCTGTTCCTTTGAAGTTTATATGACTGGATAATACCATTAGACTGTTCTGGCGGGATCCAGGAAATCAGCAGTTTTGGAGGATTCATAGATACACAGGCTACCTCAGGTGGAGAGAGACCCTCTGGAGGAGCCGGCATTGTCCTTACTACGTTCCAAGAGCTACAGGTGTGGCCTGCTGAATTCCAAGTGTGGATTTTGTACCCACACTGCGTCCATGGCTGCAAACCAGTGTCATTATACATAAATGTGTTCCTTTCAGTATTATATTCTGTGAAAACAATTTTCTCATCGGCCTGGATTGTCTGATTTCCCCAAGCTTTTCCCTCGAAACACCTGCGAATCACTTCATAGCGAATTATCTTTCCGTGTGGGTGGAGAGGCTCAGACCAGCTCAGCTCAATGCTGGTGGAGCCTACAGACTGGATCGCAGGAGCCAGCTGAGAGTGGGGAGGGGCTTCCTCTGTCCACAGAGGCTGGGGTGCTGAGTGTGCACAGCCCACCTTGGTGCAGGCCTCCAGGATCAGCGTGTAGAGAGTGAAAGGGACCAGGCGTCGGAAGAGAAACTGCCGATTCAAGCCAGTGTACTCCAGGATACCCTCACTGAAGATGTTGTAGGTCTGGAGGAAGACGAGAAGAAGAGGGAAAACAAGGTGTAACATATGATTTCTTGGTGTAGCTATTTCATCCCTTTAACCTTCTCTCCCTCCCATTCCTCATCTTGATGGTCCTAATCCAGATGAAGCACTCTGATATTAATTTTGGGAATGTGATATTTTCTAGTTAATGTAAAGTTCACGAAAAGAATAACACTGGTTTCCTTTGCCTTTTTTTTTTTTTTTTCTTTTTAAGGTTGGATATCATATAAGCACGTATCTAACAGCTAAGGACTATTGAAGCTGGTTCTTCGACTTAACAAGTAAAATAGGTTTCCTCCTATTTTATGCTTTTTAAAAATAAGGAAAAGTATTCAAATCCCCTGTTTTATAGATGATGAGCACTTTGGATCTCATTCTGAGTTGGGTAAGTAGGGCCTATCTACATTGTCTATCTCTTGCAGCATTTATTGGAAAATGGAGTTACAATGCTTAACCATTTGTACCAGGGTGCCAGGGCTGAAAATGTCTGTGTATCCATGTGTGGGCACACATACATAGACATATATGCATATATGTATTATACATATCTACACAAATATAGATACAAACTTTGATGACTAGAAGATGGAAAAAACCACACTGTTTTCTCTTGCATGCCATGGGAGAATTGATTGCTCCTTTGGAGCAAAGTATTCTTCTGTTCTGGGGAAAACCATCTGAATATTCGTCATATAAATATAGAGCAAATTTTTATCCCATATTATTCATCCTTCTTTGGGAAAGATGGGATATAACAACTTGAATGTAGATGTTTTTATACAGTGATTTCCTGCCCTTCTCCAGCCTCGATGCACCTGAGAGATATGATACATTCCTGTGGTTGGTAGTGACTCTCCAGGATGGCATCCCTCAAGAGGAGCTGTGGTGTACATCAGATTCCCTTGGGAGGCACATCTAGTTCAAAACATTCCACAGGCAAAATTAACTTGGACTGCACTGTTGATACACTTTTTGTTGTTTAAGATTAAATAGCCTAGATTTTGGAAATCGATTTATGTTGGATTATTGTATTTCAGTGTGATTTTTTTTCTAGTTGGGTTCCTAGAGCAAGACCACACCCCCGAGGGATGGGAAATAGTGTATTTTCTGAAGAGAGCTTAGCTTCCATAATCAATTTGAAAGCCTCTATGAGTCCCTGAGCTCCCTCATATTCACCTAGTAAATCTCTAACTAGTATTAAATATAGCTTTCCCTCTGTACCTTAGCTTCTAACTGGGTTTGGGGAAAAACACTTGAATATTCTGACTGGTCTCGCTTTAAATACCTTACTATAAATTTTAAGTGGGTGATTCCCCACTTGTAGGCCTATTCCATTCCCCCATATGTTCGCTCTTTCATTTTCCAAAGTGATTCTTTCATATCTTCTCCTTTCCCCACCAACTGCCATCATCCTCTTCTGTCCCTCATAGGTGGTTGTTGACAGAACCACATACTTGACTAGGGAAATAGAAGCAGTCAAAAGGGAATATTCTCATGTTATATATTATCATCACCATGTCCATGTGGCTTACAGTGTGTGCCCTCCTTCCTTATGCTCTGGATGAAGTATCTCTGCCCCTGTGGAGCCCACCTGAGCTCCAGATCCCATACCTGCTCCTTCCTACAGATTTCACTCCTGCAATCATTCTCATTATCTTTTGCATCACCAATTTATCTCCCTCTACTGGGCTATTTCTCTTAGTGGTTAAATGTATTCTAGTATCTTTCACTGATTTTTAAATAAAACTTCTTGACACTCTAGTTCCCCAGCTACTGCCCTGTTTTTCTGCTTTTCATCTATACTTCTTTAAAGAGTTGGGGTCCTCATTCCTCACTTGCTATTTTCTCCTCAAGCCATCCCAACCTGGTTTCTCATTTTACCACTTGATCTTCTTGTCAAGGTCACAATGATTACCTCATTTCCAGGTCCAGGATGACTTCTCTGCCCTCACTCCACTTGATCTCTCAACAGCATTGGACATACTTTCTCCACAGTTTTGGGATGCCCCACTCATCTACCTGTCTTTCTACCCCACTTGCCTCTTTTGAGTCTCCTTTGCTGGCCCCACTTCTTCCTCTTGACCTTCTGTATTCCTCAGAGCTTGATCCCAGTCTCTCATCATCTCTAGTTATATTCTCTCCATACCTGATCTCCTCTAGGCCCATGGGTTTAGATGCCACCCATATATGAATGGATTCTAAAAATAGAGTTCTAGACTTATACCTCCAGCTGTCTACTTGTCCCTTCAAACCTGTACACTTTCCAACCTTATCTTCTCAGTCAATGACTCAAGGCCTGAATATCCTTTTTCCTTCTTGTTTCACATCCAGTCCATTAACAGATCTTGTCAAGTTTGCTTTCTGGATATATCTCCAATCCACCTACATCTTCTACCCTCACAGCTCCCACTCTAATTCAAGCCACATAAATTCTACCCTAAATTTTTAGTATCTTCCAAACTCCACTGGTCTTCTTAGAGTCCATTTTATACATAGCAGCCAGAGTGATTTTGGAAAACATAAATTTGACTATGCTATTTAATTGCCTAAACCCTTCAGTAATTTTTCATCGCACTTAGAATAAGTTCCAAACTCATCACAGCCCACAAGGTTGGACACAGTCTACCTCCTACCAATCTGCCATTCTCATCTTTCTCTCCCCGCACCCCTCCGATGCTTCAACCACATTGGCTTTCTTCCCTTCATTTGAATGCACCAAGTTCATTCCTGGCTTCAGGCCCTGCATTTGCTGTTCACTTTGTCTGGAACATTTTGCTCTCATATCTTCACATGACTGACTCGGTCTTGTCATTCAGGGCTCAGCTCAAATGTCAACTCAATTCAAATGATCATCCATTCTAAAATAGCCCGAGCAGGCATAATTATATTATTTTGTTTAATTTTCTTTATAGTTTTCATCCTTCTCTGAAATTCTCTTATTTGTGCACTAGCTTTTTGTTTGCTTCTCTGTACCCCCACCATTCGTGTGTGTGTATGTGTGTGCATGCACGTGCATACATACACACACAGGTAAGGTGTGTGACAGCAGAGATCTTGCCTGTCTTGTTCACTCCTGAATAAATGCCTGGCACTTAGTAGAAGCTCATTAAATATTTGGTGAAATGTAAGTGAAGATAAAGGAGTAGATATTGTCAATCATGCCAGGAAGAGGCAGACACTGGAATGGGAAACAAACACTCATAAGGAGGGGCACTTTGATGGGTATGAGGAGAGAGACTCTTTTCTCTGATGGGATCTTAGGGCTGTGGCTTGGATTTTGAGACCCTGGATCCTACAACTCAAACCTCCTGCCCTGGACTGGGGGAAGTCAGGCACTGTCACATGTAGGCAGGCTGGTAGAAGGCAGCTTGCTTCTGCTGCCTGTAGCAGGCCTGGAGCTTGGCTGAGAGGCAGCCCTTGTACTAAGCAGTGAGGTGAGGCTGCTACATGGAGGCCCACGAGGATGGGCCTGGGCCTGTGAGCTGTAGTTACAGTTCTAAGTTGTTGCTGTAGGTAATTTCTGCTGTCATCTTCCTTATAGGGTTTTTAGGGAAGCTTTCTCCAAAGTTACAGCTTAGTCTCAAATGTTCTTTGTGGAATTAATAGGGGACTCTTTGCCACCTTGAGAAGGAGTGGTCAAGGAGAGGCAGTGCCTACAGGAGCAGCCATCCCAGCCTGCAGAAGGCAGTCGATCAGGGCCTGAGTGGTGGTCCAGGGCTAGAGGCAGCCACAGACTGACAGGTAAATCACCCCAACTGTTGGGGAGGAACAGCCAAAAGGGAAATGAAGACTGGTTTGCATGTGGGTGATCATTCAAAGTAACAAAATGCAGTCTAATAATAGAAATGCAACCTTATTTGTGCTCACAGACTGGTAAAACCTGAGATGCACCTAGGACATTAGTAAGACTGCTCTTCATGGCTATGCATGGAGGCGGGGGCGTTAACAGACATGGGGGGCTTCCTGTCTTCTGCTCAGTGAGCTCTGCTCAAAGCACAAATTAGGCAAGACTTAAGCAAATAACTGGGCAGGATAATTCAGGAGGCAGTAGGAACAGTCATTTAGAGTTCAGTTTTGGCGTGACTTCCTGACTTAAAATTGCAATTTGATCATTTGGAATGTGGGCTTGGACAATTATTTAGCTTTTATAAGCCTCATGAAATTTAGTGGCACCTACCTGGTAGGGTTGATGTGCAAATTAAATGAGATAATCCACGGAGAGCACTTAGCCCAGTGTTGGGTTCATAGGAAACATAATACATGGGAGCTAGTTTTTCCGATCTATGATTAAGTGCCTGGAGGATCTATCAAGGAGGATTAAACAGACGGTGAAGGGTGTTTTCCCACAGTGACCTGATGGCATGTCAGGGCTCATTTATTTATCTGGAGAACACCAAACATGATTTCATATTCAGAGTAGACGTTACCTGAATCACACCATTGGTTCTCACAGGCTCTGACCACTGTAACAACAACGCCCGGCCGTTCTCTTGCTGTTCTACGGTAAAGTTGCTCAGTCCACTTGGGGAAGATTCTAGGGTTTGAACCACAGTCCAGGGGCTTGAAACTTCTCCTGCCTGGTTTGTGGCCACAATTCCAATGTGATATGTTGTGAATGGTTCTAACCCAAACAGGTGGGCTTGAAGGCTCATTCCCTGCACAAAAATTAACAGGTTAGTTTTCTTTTAGAAGCTGCTAACAGTTGCTGGAAGATCATTCTCTGACCAAGGTATAGTAGCAATGACAGCAAAAATATCACAACAGAGTTTTTGAATTATTAAGAAAACAATGTGTTTTTTTATTGTTCTTCACACCTGAATAAATTATCTAATGTTGTGTAATTTCAGACATACACAAAATATGGATTAGATAGGATCCTTGCCTTTCCAGAGTTTGCAACCCAGAGGATGTGATATATAACATAAAAAAAAAAATCTTTGATGCTTCAGGTCAGTGCTACATCCAGCTTATGGTGGAAATCAGTGGCACCAAGTTTCATGACAAAGAATGGGATAATCTTAAGGGTTTGGAGATCTAACTGGAACAGTTAATCTTCAGCACCATTTGTTTACACATACGACTCTCTCTAGTCTCCCTCTCTCATTCTCTTGGTATTTATATCTTACAAATGCAGTAAAACAGACACAAGAAAACAAAACAACAAGCAAACTGAACTATGAATGCACAAACACTGTTCGAGAAGTCTACTAGTGATATACATGTGAAAATATTCTCATTTGTTAAAAACACCATAACTAGAACCATCAAACTTACCAAAAGTAATTGTTAGCTAGGCTTTGAGAGTTTGGTTTTTGTTGATTTAAAAGAAAAAAAAAAAGGATAGTAGAATTAAGGTGGTTTTTTTTTTTCTTCCTGCTTGGAGAGAACATTTAACATATTTTACATAACTAAAAGCTGGAACTAAAAGTCGTCATGTTTTGAAAGAGCCCAAGGTGCTCTTTCTACATCTGGGCTGGATGGATATGTCTGTTTACAAATAGCAATTATGTCTGAAAGTGGACCGTTAATATGTATATAGGTAAACACACACACACACACACACATACAGACACAGAAACACCCAGAGACACACAGACACACAGACACATACACACTTTCTTTTGCGTACTATACGTGATTAATCATGAGGAAGTTTTGACTCGCTTAATGGGATATTTATGCTTAATGGTGTGTAAGATCAGGTTTGGTTTATCAGATGTTTAAATATGACAGTTTTCAATTGTCTTCCCCTTGGTGGATACAAAAGGACAAATGGGGGGGAGAGAAGAGGAAGTTATTTCTGAGAGTAGATACCTGAAAGCATCAGACAAAATTATGTGAATGGAAATTCTCCTTAATGTAGAGGCATCCAAATATTATTTTGAATAAAATCTAAAACAAGGTGGCGAAATCGAACTGAACCATTTTCCAAAAAACTGGTCAGACAAAACCAAAACACATCGCAGAAATAATTTTTGACACTGTTTCCTCACATTCTTGGTTATAAGTTTCAACTGTTAAATGTCTCTTACTATGTGTTAAACACAAGCAGAGAAAATAGAATTTCCTTTATTTATCAAAAACTTGTAAGTTAATTTTCCTCTTTCGATAAGTCCCATTATGATATTACATGCTAACCTCTTGAAATCTTTTAATATTTAAACATTTGCTAAGTGACCAGACTCTGAAACAAATTTTATAGAAATACTAATTTCTCTTTTTTAAAATATTAAAAGTTAGATCATAAATATTTAAAACTTATTTCTCCACAACATTGGATTGGTCTTTTAGATAAATACAGCACAGAACTAGAATGACCATAATGAATATTAAATCTGAAGATGCTACAAGTCCCGATTGCAAACATTCTTTCCTGATAAATGATTCCTTTTCTGTAGAAATAGGGCAAACACGGGCAAGATTAGTAATGCAAAAAAGAAAAACTCTTTGTTCAGAATATTCAGTAATAGATGCCAAAAAAGCATAAGCTCCAAAGCAAATAGTAATCACCTCTAACAGATTATATATAAAAAAGGTAGGCTGTTGGGGGACATTTAGAGATAGCTTTTGTCATAAGAAACATGAAAAGCATGTGGGCTATAAAGCAAAAACATATGTATATTGTCAATAGCAGCACCTGCTCAATTAGAGTTTATTTCAGAGCTGAGAATTCCATTCAGCCCCTAGATGGCAATACTACCAAACACTTTTGGTAACATGAGTACTTAATGATTAACAACTGGCATTCAGTCATCCAACACACTCCAGGCAACCATTAAAAAAATAACAAAACTGATTTCATTATAGATCCTTTTAATAAACATTTATAGCTCAGATCCTCAGAAAGCAGAAGTATTCAGAACACCCTGGCCTCAAAACATCCGCCATCTAATGTAGAAATATGACCTGCAGATCTCAAGTCGAAGTTCGTGCATGCCTGACACAGAGATCTTTAGAGGTTTATTCCTACAAAAGGTGATTACAGTAGTTGTTTTGCTTACTTTGGTCTGTATCTTAAAAGAAAAAAAAAGAAAGAATCTCATATTGTAAATGTAAAGGAAATGTAAAGGAGAATTTTTATCCATAAATTTATGCTGAGGACAAGTTCTCACATTGTGTTGTTATTTCTGAAGAGCTACAACACACACACACACACACACACACACCTTAAATAAGCCTCATTAATGACCATGCTTTTTGTCAATGTTTAGTAAAGGCCACATATAAAAAAATGCAGAAAATTTAAAAATGGCAAGACGATCCTTACCAATATATTCTTCAACATTTAAAGAAATCATTTACATTATTCTCTCTTGAATGGATTTCCAACACCAAAGTTCACTATTTTAGAATCCTGCTGTAAAATTTGGGCAGAGTTCATTCTGCGGATTGGGTTGTATCTTGTCTTTTTATTCAGTTACTTGGTTTTTTCCCCTTAAATTCAGATTTACTTGAACACTGTCTACCTTAAGTGTTTTGGATTAAATTCCTTCCTTTGGGGATGTAGTGTTCTCCGCTATTGACTAGTGAAAGTCATCATTAAAAACCCTTTTCTTCCCTTTCATTCCTCTGCTCCCCCTACTTCCATCCCCTATGGAGATGATCTTGATTCAATACTTTTACTTCTTCCTCCTCATTGTCCTTATTTTGCTCCTTCTTTCCCTCACTCTTCCATCTTACTGATTCTTAGGAGATAGATTTCTTGTTATCCCCAATCTCTGGGCTACAAGCTTGTGCTCACTTCCCATCTGTCCTTGTCCTTCCCATGTTCACATCCACCTAATGTTCATATTTTTATTCTACAAGTATTTAACTACTTTTGTTAGGCAGCAGGTGGAAAGAATGATTCAACAGAGGAAAAGAGGCATAATCCAGTCTCTGCAATCTAATATTTCCAACGAGACTTAGCTTTTTTTAAAAAAAAAAACTTACATGCATAATGGTCAGAGTCTGGATCCAAATCCGTATGTCCTTTTATGAGACATAAAGACAAGACTCTCTGGAACACTTTGCCAGTTGAGGTTCTGCTGGCAATTTGAACTGCATTTTAACCTCTCAACTCTGCTCCTGGGGGCACATGAAACTACTTGGAGTCTTCAGCAGTCTGACAATTTTACACCATCTCCTCTGATTATTTTTGATGACTTGAAGTGCCCCAAAGGTGGCCATGGGGTCAATAGGTTTATGTAGGTTGAAAATGATCAAAAATTACCATTGATCTGTAGCTGTCAATAAAAGACTGCGTGGGGAGACTCCCTGCACAAATGTTTAAACTGCATAAAGCAACCTAACTTAGTCATCTTTGAGTCTATTGATCTGATGATCCAGCAGTTTCCAAAGCTTTCCCTCTGGTCTTTGTGGTGCATTTTCACTGAACCCACTTACCTTGGCCCTTAGGAATCTTTTTACCCTGCTCCTGGTAATGAACCAAAACAGTGGCATAGAGGTACTGTTGTGCTCATCAACAGAGTATTGTGTGTGCTTATTACATGTTGGAAAGGGTTAATCTTCCTGGTCACCATCAACTTCATTCCCAGCTGATGGGGTTTCTTCTGTCCATACTTCTTATCATGGCTTATCATACACTCCTCATTTTAAAATGTGTGACTTTTGGCCTATAAATCCTAACCCGGTTACAGGATTCTTTTCCTTGTTAGTTATCATGAATGCCAAGATCCAGAGAATATGTCACATCAAAATTTTGCTTTGTTTTGTATAAAGAGAGCTTCAGAGGAATCTAAATTTAATTCTATTAACCTCTGTTTTCCTTAGTTGAACCATTTGGGTGCTTCTTCTTAGTTTTATCATAAGTTATAATTTTCCTATAAATATAACAATAAACAAATAAACAAAAACAATAAACAATAAACAAGTTTCTGGTTTAGACTACAAATAAAACACGAGAAGTAGGAAAAGCTCTTATTTACTATTATTTACTATTACTCTTATTTACTATTGCCTAAAAGCCATGGCTTTAGACACAGTACAGCCATTCAATAGGATGATTTACATATTTTAATGCTGACAAATCAACACAAAATATTTTTGTAGATTTCTGAAAGCCAGATCATTTGAGGCATGGGTTCTGGAGGTCTATCTTCCTTTCCATTTATAAAGTTAATGTTTAACTTCTCCAAAGTTGATCAACATATTTATATCTAGTACTCATTTTGTAGAAGTCCCATCAGTCTCAATACAGAAGTGATCTTTTATTACCCATAGCCAAATAATAGCCTTGAATACTTATCCATAGTTATCTAAGTATGAGACTTCCAAGCCTGCAAAATGTTAATACAGAAAATTTCCACTGATTTCACATGTGATTTACTTTACCACTGCTATCTCTGCCTACAAACCTCCTGGCTGATAGGACAAAGACATTTTTTGATGGCACACACATACATGCAGTGTTGCTCCTGAATCAAAGATTGATTCATAATACAAGAAAGGTAGAAGAAAACCCTTTAAGTTCATGGTCTGTTGTTTTACCTGCATGAAGTGTGTGCATGTACTAGGGGGCATTGCTAAGTTGTATGACAGAGCTGCTAAAATGGTTAGTAGAAACATCTAGTATTGTTGGTCTGTAGCTACATTCAATTTTTTTTTAGATTTATTATTTATTTATTTATTTATTTTAGAGGTGGGGGGAGGGGCA